TGTGGTTGTGACATTTTGCCACCCTATACCAGTTAAGATAACACAGGGCACCTCCAACTCTCTCCCATGTGGCAAATGCCAGATCCTCACTTGGTAAGCCAGGGGTCAGGTTCTGTTGGTGTATGCTGTGGTGTTAGGAATGCTGGTGTAGTTTACCACTGTCGGGACAAGGGGGTCACTGTTGTCTGTGACAGATGTGGTCCAGGATGGCAGCTTGTCAGGTTACCCAAGGTGGCCACAGTCTGGGAGAGACTAACGGTGTCATGCTTCCAGGCTTCTGCTGACACATCCTTGTTGAAAAAACAGACTGACAGCTATTGGGGTTAGGATGAGTTACTGTAGCAACCCAGTCAGTCTCTCTGTCCCTGTCCTGAGGCTACTACCTCTGTGGACATCCACTGCGCTTGTTGCTTGGCTCAGACCTTTCTGCCTCAGTTGTCCAGTCCAGGAAAGGAGGAAACATCCTGTACAAACAGACATGTCTGATAGTGTTGCCTACCCAAGTAGAAGGATTAGATGTCCCCCGAGACATTAGAAAGACCCTAGCATCCTGGTATTCTATGGTCCTGTCCCTCACCCCTGTGGGATTGCATGGAAGGAAGGTCCCTGGGGGAAGCATCACCTCCAGATTAGAGTTAGGGGGTTCTGTCTGGGGTACTGTGGTGGCCTGGCCTGCAGACCAATCCTTAGAATGTGCACTCTAAATAGGAAAAGGAAAAAGAATGGTTGGGAACATTGAGATTGGGCCTTCACTGGCCAGATGGTGGCCATAGCCAGTGGACCCTGTCTGCTTGCTGTTTCACAGCTGTCAATAAATTGTGCCATACTGTCAGGAGGCACATGTCTGAGTCTTGAGCTCTAGGAGAAGCCAAAGCATCCCCTATAGGTCACTTGGTCCCTTCTGTTCATGGATCCTGCTTGTTTCTTGGGGTCCTGGTTGGGCCTGATCTTGAATGTACCTTTTCCATTTGATAACTGAGCTCTGTTGAGCCTGCCCAACTTTATTGGTGTGGTTTGTAAGTGCCCAAGTGAGAACAGGCAGTTAGGGTCTGTGTCACATGTGACATTCTAGCTATAAGATGCTCAGTTCCCGCCAGTGCCCGATAGCAAGCAAGGAGTTTTTATTCAAAAGAAGCATATCTGGTGGCTGCCTCAGGCAACATGTGTGTCCAAAATTTGAGTGGCTGATGTACCTCTGTGGCAGTTCTGTTTCCATAGATTCCAATCTGCATGCATGGAGGTCTTAGACACCTGCAATTTCATCAGGTTAGCGGGCTCTAAAAGTTTTAAGGCAGTGCCTACCAGTGTTGGGCCTCCTTTTGTTAATGGGTGCCAACAGGGTTAAAAATTTTTGTTTGACTGTATCTGGGATACTTTTTTTGGCTTCCCGCTCAAGTGGCCTTGGCATTCAGTCTTTTATAGTCCACTGTTAGTCTCCATGCTCTGCAGATCTCTTGACCAGCTAAACTGGGCTGTGACAGGGTGGATGTAACATTTTTATCTGTAGCAAGTAAGTCCTAATTTAACAAAGTAATATCTTGTTCTCCATTTAGTATGCAGCAGTGCTTTTGTTCAATAACCCAGTGGGACTTGGGTAGCTTAGGTGGCAGGCAGGAGTGGATATGCCCCACAGTAAAGGCTTGATTCTTAGCTGTGAGGGGGCATACCCCCTCAGATGGTGGTAATAACCTGTGCCACAGCAGCCAAAATGGTGAGTCCTATAATGTACTCAGCAGGTAGGGACCATGGTCACTGGCACCCAAAGGGCCCCACCCACAATCAGATAAGTACCACACTGTGGATCACCACATTTGTCCCTAAACCTCCAGTGTCATCAGTTTAATTTTTTCCCTCAGGGCACCTACAAATATTATGGAGAAACTGAGAAAATCTAAATACACCTCCTCTTCCCACTTATCTTGACAGGAGTATAGGGCTACTGGCCTCTGGTGGGAACCTGAAGACTTAACTCCATCCTTAATTATCACCCTTCCTTCTCCATAAAGCATCCAACTGCATATCCAGCCCTTGTCCCCCAAGGCTGATATCTCTGCCCTGGGCCAGGTACTGGGGGGGGGGGGATTGCGGGGGGGGGGGGGGGGGGTATTGCCCCTCTCCCTTCATCAAGCCATAGTTCTGTCATATCAGACCCTGCTTGCTGCACCAGTCCTGTGGAGCAGGTTCACTGGTTACCAATTTATTTGAGTCTGGTGGGGCAGAACACACTCAAAAGCAACAAATTATATGATGCAGATTGATTACTTATAGATAGGCAGTGAGGGACAAAAGAAGCCTAGGATCCATTGTGAGCCGGTTGCCCAAGGCTCAGTAAAGCTACCTGGGATGGATGGAGTCTTAACTGCACTTCCGCCTGTTGTACCACAGCTGAGACACCCCAAAAGGCAGCCCAGCCTGGGTTATATACTTCAGGGATCCCATGACTCACTAGGCAGTTCTTCCATAACTCAAGATGTCATATTCCCTAGGAAGGATGGGAACAAGGCCCAGGCTGTTTCAGGCAGTTCCCTGCTATCTCAGGATATTGCATTCCTAGCACATTGTGCAGTTATTCTTGAGAACTCTAATCAAGAAAGGGAGAGAACTGGGTCGATCAAGGCCACCCTGCCTGAAAAGTATCGTGCAGTTACCGTAAGCTTGTCAGTTTGGTTCTAATTTGAGAGAGGAGAACAATGGGTTTTATCAAAGATGGTTGGGACTAAATTGCTAAATGCTGCTGGAGCAACTGGCNACAATGGGTTTTATCAAAGATGGTTGGGACTAAATTGCTAAATGCTGCTGGAGCAACTGGCAGGATTCATTGAAACCTAAACATGTGTAGTCTAGGATGTATCATTTAGAGTTCTAGAGGGTTACTTATAAGTAGACTGAATAAGTGCACAAAGTAAAAGTCCAGGACTTCTCATCATTGCACTTCTGATGACGCTCAGGAAAATGAGTTTGTCATTGTCAGGATACAGACAGAATAAGTGGGAAATCTATAAGTTGACCCAAGTGTCTGAAAATCTAGAACAGCTTCCCACCAAACATCTTCACCTGCTCAGTGCTGCTTTCTCCCAGTAAATATAGATCATAAGACTGAGGTTGTGTTTGTTTGGTATGTCAGGATACAGACAGAATAAGTGGGAAATCTATAAGTTGACCCAAGTGTCTGAAAATCTAAAACAGCTTCCCACCAAACATCTTCACCTGCTCAGTGCTGCTTTCTCCCAGTAAATATAGATCATAAGACTGAGGTTGTGTTTGTTTGGTATTATAGGAAACAGTGACATTCAAGGACGTGGCTGTGGTCTTCACTGAGGAGGAGCTTGGGCTGCTGGACTCTACCCAGAGGAAGCTGTACCAAGATGTGATGCTGGAGAATTTCAGGAACCTGCTCTCAGTGGGTGAGGACAGGAACCCTCTGTAATGTCAGCACTTAGGAGTGGCTTTTGTGTCCTTGGGTGTTCAAGTTCGAGTATTCAGTGGGAACCTAAATTTCTAGCAAATTTTACCTAGGTGCTACCTGGAATGTGTTAGGTTTCAGCCTGTGAATTTGCACATTCACAGGACATCAGCTGTTCAAACAAGATTCATTCCACATTATAAAGGAAGGAAAGTTTTGGATGATGAAGACAGCAACACAAAGAGAAGGGAATTCGGGTAAGAACCAAGCAAATGTGATTCCTTGCATGTGACTCTCCCACCTATTTTACTTCTTTCCATGCCTGTTTCTCTCGCCCTGGTCTGAACTGCGAGACCTCTTTCCTGGGATATTACAACTGCCTTCCAGCCGGGTACCCTGTTTCCTCCCTTCCCATCCTCCAGTCTGTTCTCCATGTAGCAGCCAAAGTGATCCTTAGGAAATGTAAGTCATTTTTCTGATCAGTACCTTTCGTGGATTCTTATTTTTCTTAAAGTTAAAACCACTCTAAATGGCTTTTATGTCTGCTCCTTGTCCCCCACTCTCTCTGAATAAATCTCCTGTCTTCTCCGTCTTGCTTCATCTTTTCCACCCACATTTGCCCTTCCTGATGTTTCTCAGATCTGCCAAGAACACTGCATTTCCTATTGATGGTAGCAAATTACCACAAACTTAGCATATTAAACAACAAGAATTTATTACTTTTCTATTCTTTAGACCTGAAGTCTGACAAATCTCAGTGGGCAAAAATCAAGATGTCTGAAGGTCTTCATTCCTTTCTTGATGCTCTCTTGGGGAGAAACCTTCACTTTGTTTTACCAGTGTCTAGGAACTGTCCACATTCTTTGGCTCTTGTTTCCCATCCTCCCATCTTCAAAAGCACCATCTTTGCATCTCTGACCATTCTTTCATTGTCACTCTCTCTTCTCATGCCTCCATTTTCCACCTCTCAGGACCCCTGTGATTGCATTGGTCACTCCCACATAATCTGGCATGGTCTTCCTATTTTCTGGACAGGTGATTAACAACCTTAATTGCATCTCCAACCTTAATTCCCCTTGCCATGTAACATATCACATTCATAGGCCCTGGGGATTGCATGAGGACATCTCTCAGGACCATTATTCTGTCTACTATAGAAGCTTCTGCCTCAGAACCTTTACTTGCTGTTCTCTCTGATTGGAAATCTGTTACACCCAAAAGCCTTCTGGCCCCTCCCTCACTTCAGTCATGTCTCTGCTCAGTTTTAATATCATGAGAGAGGCCTTCTTCAGCCACCCTATTTAAGATACCACCCTACCTTTATTCTTCTTGGTCTGCCTTATATTGTGTCTCCTATATATTTATTTACCTATCACCTCTTCCCCTGGAATATAATCTGTAGGAGGAGGAATTTTAGCTGTTTTGTTTATGGCTAAGGATTTTATGAGTTATATGCCAGGAGATGGGGACGAAGGCCAAATATACATTTCACAATTTCACAGGGAAGGATGAGGATGAAAGTGTCATAAGCCCCACAGCTGAATGTTGCCTATATTTCTGATCTTTATTCAAAAATGTGGTGTATGTTTCTTTATCTTTGTTTTCTACAAATTTTATTGTTAAAAATGTTAAAGAGTATATTTCACACAATTTTCCCACTATTTCTGTGGTGACCCAGTACTGTATTTTGAATTGGTGAACTTTATAACTTGGAAGGAATTGGGAAACTGCCCTGTTAAAACATAAACATCCTGAAAGAGACCCTCCTCTTTTCTCAGAAACTTCTATTTATAAGTAACATTGTATTAAATATATCCATGTACCAATGTGTACCAGCAGTTCCACACTTGCTTATTAATATATTCCAAGATTCAACCATTGAAAGTTAACTTTTCATTTGAAAAATGTACTTAGTTCAGGACTTGGTAATAACCTGGCCAAAGTTTTCAAAATTTTATGAGCATGAGCCATACTAAGAAATACATCTTTCATCATAATAGAACAAACATTTTCCATGTGTATAGATGTTTATAAATTACATTAGTGGGTATTTCATATAATGACACTTTTCCAGCTTGTCATGATGCTCTGATAGTTTCTATTCTAGTCCTTTTTCCTAAGTATTTGTTATAAGGTTTTAAATTTATTTCATGGCTCACTTATGGTCTTTGGTCTTCAATTTGAAAATGGTTTTAAAGGCCTATCTACATCCTAAATTTTCTACAGTTTGTTTTCAGTGAAACAGTATAATAGCCTTAGGTGGAACCAACCAGGTCATAACCCCTCAGACAGTCTTTTCACCCAAGTGATTCTTCCTCCTTCTGATGTTCTCATCAGGAGCATCCTCCTTTGTGTATTCTTGTTAGGTATGGCTTTTCAGATTCCATCAAAACTGCAGTTGTATCTCCCTTTTCTATTTCAGATAACTAAATTATTTTCCGTATCAACACAGAAAAATAAGATTACGTATACATGAGCAAAATTCTTGTGCTGGAATGTGTTTATATTTACAAATATAAACACTACTAGGAGTTTGGTGTTTAGGATTGTGAAGAGTTTAACCAAACACAAAGTTTAAAGGAACAATTTACATAAGACTGCCCTCACTTCACACTAATTGCAAATTTGGGGGTTTCCCAAAATTACCTTCATTTTTAGTAATTCACTAGAAAGACTCTCAGAACTTACTGGATGTTTTTATACTTGGGGTTAATGGACTTTTACAGGGATAAGATGACCATTACAGGTAGCCAAGAGAAAAATCACATAAGACAGAGTCCAGAGAAGTACCAGATGATGATTTTCAATTGTATTCTCCCCATAGGCTCAGGAAACATTATATTCCCAGGACTAAGGTATAACATTAGATGCAGAGTACTGACAATCAAGGAAGCTCACCTGAGCCCTAGTATATAGAGTAATTATCGGGGTTCCATTACATAGCCATTATTGGTTGATTTCCCATGTGGTTAATCTCCGTCTCCTGTTTAACTGGTTCCATGTGATGATCTAAAGCCCTACCTTAAATCACTTCGTTGGTCTTTCTGACATTGTGACCCCCCCCCCCTCCAACCAAGGTGTGGCCAGCCACCACCCTATATCATATTGTTAGACTATCCAGAGTGACCCATGGCCTCTAAGCAAACAAAGACACTCTCCTCAGTCATGACATTCCAAGAGCCTACAGATTACATGTCAAGTGCTAAGGACAACATCCAGACCTCTTTTTGAGGTAGGTTAATTTCTTTACTTCATAAGGATATAGAGCATAAACCCAAATATACAAAGTACTAATTATGTCATTGTTTTTTCTTAAAGTTCCTTTTGATTCATATTTCATTGTGTACATAATTTATTGGTAACATAATTTACCATGCAAGATTTTAGACTGACTAGGAAATTCAGTAGAAATAGTTAAGAGGTTAACTGTATGTATCACATTAATTTTTTAAATTAAGTCTTTTATTTCTACCATCTAACTCACATATGAGACTTGGTGTGGTTCTTACTGGCTCTCAAGCAAACCAGAGACAATGTTGCACAGTGGAAAACAAAGATGGAACATTGCTTGTTTTCATTAAAGTTTCGAAGTCTTGAAAACTCTGAACAGAGCTTTCCATGGTCCACATCTCTGAATTCTCTGTCCTGATAGGAGGCAAGATCCCAGCTGAGATGGAGACTGTTCCAGAAGCAGGACCACATGAAGAGTTGTCCTGCCAACAAATCTGGGAACAAATTGAAAGTGACCTAACCAGGTGTCAAGATTCCATGATAAGTAGCTCTCAGTTCCCCAAACAAGGTGATTTGCCCTGCCAGATTGAGGCAGGACTATCAGTAATTCATACAGGACAGAAACCTTACCATGGTAATGGGTATGAACAGTCCTTCAGTGATGTCTGCAACTTTGATCTTCACCAACAGTTGCACTCAGGAGAGAAGACTCATACATGCAATGAGTGTGGAAAAAGCTTCTGTAATAGCTCAGCTCTAAATATCCATCAGAGAGTTCACATGGGAGAAAAATGCCATAAGTGTGATATGTGTGGTAAGGAATTCAGTCATGATTCACATCTGCAAGCCCATCAGAAAGTCCACACTATAGAGAAACCATTCAAATGTGAGCAGTGTGGGAAAGGCTTCAGTCGTAGATCAGCACTTAATGTTCATTGCAAATTACACACGGGAGAGAAACCTTACAATTGTGAGGAATGTGGGAGGGCCTTCATTCATGCTTTCCATCTTCAGGAACATCTGAGAATCCATACTGGGGAGAAACCATTCAAATGTGATATATGTGGTAAGAGCTTCCATGGTAGATCAAACTTTAATAGACATGCTACGGTACACACAGGAGAGAAACCATTCAGATGTGATATATGTGGTAAGAACTTTCGTCAGAGATCAGCACTTAACAGTCATTTCATGGTCCACGCAGAAGAGAAACCACACAAATGTGAGGAGTGTGGAAAGGGTTTTATCTATAGACGAGATCTTTATAAACATCAGGTAGTCCACACGGGAGAGAAACCATATAATTGTAAAGAATGTGGTAAGAGATTCAGATGGTCCTCATGTCTTTTGAAACATCAGCGTGTCCACAGTGGAAAAAAAACCATTTAAATGTGAAGAGTGTGGGAAGAGATTTTATACAAATTCACAATGTTATTCCTATCAGAGAGCCCACAGTGGGGAAAAGCCATACACATGCTAGGAGTGTGGGAAGGGCTACAAAAGCAGGTTGTATCTTGACTTTCACCAGAGGATCCACATAGGAGAAAAACTCTACAATTGTAAGGAATGTGGGAAGAGCTTCATTCAGGCCCCATGTCTTTTGAAACATCAGAGCCCACAGTGGAGAAAAACCATTCGAGTGTGAAGAGTGTGGGAAGAGATTTACACAGAATTCACAACTTCTTTCCCATCAGAGAGTTCACACTGGAGAAAGCCATACAAAGGTAAGGACTGTGGGAAGGTCTCAGCTGGGCCTCAAGTCGTCTAACCCATCAGAGACTTCACAGCAGAGAAAGAAAGAAGAGCTTTGTACATTTCCCATCAGAGAGTTCACACTGGAGAAAGCCATACAAAGGTAAGGACTGTGGGAAGGTCTTCAGCTGGGCCTCAAGTCGTCTAACCCATCAGAGACTTCACAGCAGAGAAAGAAAGAAGAGCTTTGTACCCAGTTCCTACTTTAAACAACAAAAAGCCCACATTGGAGAAAATCCATACAAATGTGAGTCTGTTGGAAGGGCTACAGCAAGAGCTTGCATCTTGAACTGCATCCACATGGGAGAAACACCATGTAAGTGGGGGGAGTGTGGTATGTGCTTCAATCAGGTCTCACGTATTCTACTTCATCAAAGAGAAACGTAGAAATACAGTGTGCATGGTAATGTCTTCAACTCAGCATTCTCAACTACAGTCAGATCATCTGAGTTCCACAGGGAAGAAACATTGAAAATGTGAGATGTGATAAGCACTTCAGTTTGAGTTTCTGTCTTATCATTTATCACAGAATCCATGCTGATGATAAATTTTATTTGGTCTAGTAGGAGGGAGAACATTTGTTCCATTAAAGTCAGTATTTTGGCCATAGCTCAGCGTATTGCAGTGGTTCAGAGACCACATAGTGGAGAACCCTTGTAAGTAGTGAAATAAGGGTTTCATTCAGAAGCTTGACGATTATTATCATCACTCAGGAGACAGGCCTTAAAAGAATAAGGGTTTGTTCAGGCATTTACAAAACTCTCATGATACACATGCCAAAATTGATATGTACTAGAGTGTATGCTCCATGAGGGCAGGGTCTTTGTTTTCTGCTGAATTTCCATTGTCTTTTTTTTTTTTTTCAGCCGGCCAGTATAGGTCCTTGACCATGGTGTTACAATACAGTGCTCTAACCATCTACAACCTTAACATTCATTAGCACTTTGTAGGTGTGTTCAGTGCTTGTTTGTTAAATGAATGAAAAGGAGAATATTTACAATATTTTAAAGTTGTATCCAGAAGAAGAAACCTGCAAAGAATGATTCAGGGGAACAATCATGAGTTGAATTTCAGAATACGCTCCTGTACTACAATGCACAGCATTATTTTGAATATTATCATGTTACACTTGGCCCCTGGCTTCTCCCATCCTCTGTTCTGAAGTTGCATTCTTATTATTTGTGGCTATGTGTAGTGTTTCATTGGTTGTGTACCCTATGAATTCAGCTATCTTTTGTAACTTTTATCACAGT